CAGCTGGACTCAGTTGACTGTTCTGCTTTCCACTGCCTCCAGACGCCCATCGTTGCAAACACTTTGGTGCTCAATAGTGGTTGCTGTGCTGTCCCTGTGATCTAGCAGTTCTGAGCACAGGTCGCATCTGGTGCAGCGATAATGCTGATTCTTTAAAACCCATGTTAGATATCACAGTATTTTCCTTGTGCTTTATTCCTGTCGGTGCAATAAGTGGTGGATACTTCTTTGTCAACAGTATTTAGCTCCAGGGCATTATTTTCCGTTGATGGAAGGAGAAGAAAAGAAAAGAAAAAAAAAAGACAAAAAACAAAAAAAAACCAAAAAAAAAACAAACAAAAAAAAAGGAAGCTTGGACACTGTCTACAGAGCTTTTTTATATTACAAGATTCCGTCGGACTGCAAACATCAGTTAGAACTACGACTAAAGAGAAAAAGGTTGATGTAGAACATTCTTTGATTTATTTTCAAAACTCAATTTGTGTTCTGTTCCAATTTTTTTCTTTTGCTAGGATATTGACTTTCTGTGAATTTTCATCACTAGATCAATCATATTGACAAATCAGGCTCCTGGTCTTGGTTGTTGTGTGGAAAGGGAAGCAGGGCACACCTCTGTCACTTCATTATAAGGTGCAAGTTGTTTTGCTGCCGTTCATAGTGAAAATGCCAATCAAATCATATCCCTTTGTGACACTGCATAAATCCCAAAATTATTTTAGATTCTTTGACAAATGTAGAAGTGTCAGCTACAAATCTCCAGTTGTTGATAGTTGTCATATGACACTTGTTTCACAATATCCAGTATGACAGATAACTCAGTGTATTTGTTTGCCTAGAGTTGAGAAATCACTGATTGGATTTGTAATGTCACCAGCCAGCTTTGTCTAAACCCGACCAGAAGTTTACTATTCCTCAAGACAAATACACTTTCTTAACCTAGTTGATGCTATAATTGATGTATGCAGGCAGATCTTAATGGTTGGTGAGACTGTGATGTCGTCCCAAGTCAGAGGGGTTAGAGTGTGACCTTTCTTGCTTCCTTCTCTGCTGGGAGCTATGTTAAAAGGGAAGAATAGTGTCCAAACCATATTTTGTAAGTTGGTATCCTTATATATATGTATATTTATATATATATCTATGTGTATATATATATATAAATATCAAAATTATTCAGTAAATCATAAATTAAGAAGAAATTATTTTATATGAATCAAAGTATATGATACTAAATGTATTGCTCTTGTAACTGGTACTGGTAGCTTGCTTCTTTGTATTCCTTCATACATAGTGTGTTTGAATGTTACAACTATTGCACAATTTTATGGTAAACTTCCAAAGATGTATTTAGGATTTATATTATGAGCTGCATACATGGGGTTTTTAAAAGTATATATATATTTTTCTTTTCCTTTTTCTTTTTTTAGCATTATTATAATTTTTTTTGGCCGGAGATTAATAGATAGGGATAAGTTTTGGGTAATTAGAGTTGTCCTTATAGAGAGATTTTTTATAAATTTGATTAATCAAATGTACTCTCTCATGGTGACTGGAAGGTCAGTGAGACTCATTCCATCCCAAGTATCAGTTGTGTTGTAAGGGAGCAGGGAACAGTGCAAAGCTAGATTTTGTCAGCTGAAGAGAGTAAGGTGTAGGAATGATAATGTAGCAGGAGGCAGGTTGCTTTTCTTTTCATTTATTTTTTTGATTCTCTGTTTTCACAATTTACAGTGATGCTGTAGATTATTATGGTTGTCATTCTTTTTCCTGAAAAACTGGGCATTTATGCTGTGATACCAACAAGGACTTTGGAAGTCGATTTGCTTTGCTGGCAACATAAACAGTTAGGGTAATCATGGTGGTTAGGATCTACACACGAGCTTGGGATGGAATTAGTCTCAGTGCAACCATCAATCAATCTTGTTATCTGTATTGTTCCACATGTGGGTTGGACTGATATCTCACTCGGGCTCTGCAAGGTTAGAGGGAGTTGTGCAACACTAGAGCGATGGCAGGGGCCATGATGGTGTCTAATAAGGCAAAAGAAGATATATAATTTAAAAAATGATTAAACCAGGTTGTTGTTGATGTTGTTATAAAGGTACATAACTTGGATGATATGACAGTTGAGTGAGATGATTGTCTGAACTCTTGTTAGGTAGGGTTAGCTTTGCACTATGTTGATGTTTTGTTCACCTTAGTTCATGTTTTGGCCCTCAAGTATATTTTTGGATAAGTGACAATTAGCATTCTAAGACTTTGTGTACCATAGCCTTGTGTAAGTATATCATAAAAATATTCTTTATACATAATAGTACTATAAGTAAAAAAAATGTATACTCTCATATTGCCTGCAGATATGAATTATATTCTATATATTATATTTTGTTTTAATGTTTCCATAGTTCTAGCATTCATCAAATGAAAGTGCATTTATGTAAAGGGAATGTAAAATGTACTTCAAAAGTTAATATCATGGGAACAAAACACAAAGCCTCACTTCACAGGCTACTTCCTATGACCTGTTCCCAGGCAGGTGTGGCAGAGATTTTGAGATACTTTTGAAATGGAATGCTGGTGTCAGGCTTCAGAGTTCAGAGGGTTTTTCTAAGACACAACTTCACCTGCCTCGATTCAGCCTCTGTTCTAATATCACTTTGCCATTCCAAAATAAACTATACATGGAAAGGAATTCTCTTTCTCACTTCCTTCCTGCAAGTAATCTTATTTTGCTTGTGATGCTGTTTCTTTATTTAGTGTAAATTATTTTCTTAAAGAAAAAAAGGAAAGAAAATGACAATGAAATATCAGTTTTGCATTCCAGTAAATTAACTAGAAGTGGCTTCGATATCAACATATAATTTTTATATATTTTTTTTCTTTCTCTTGTCAAAGTTTGACTGTAATAAGTACTTAACAAATCTGAATAATTATTTTTTGTCAAACATATTCAATTTGACAGAAAAACCTTTCATTCCATCTGTTTTTGTGACTGAACCTTGTACTTCTTTACTAAACTCATTATCCTAGCTATTTGATTTTGTAATCTGAGCAAACTCTCTATATCACTCCTCACACTAATTGATGCCTGCAACCAAATATGAAAACTAAAAAATTAGAGGGCATTGGTGAAAAGGTTCTGTGTTGCATAATCTTTGTTCTTCAGTACAAGATGATTCTATTTTTTCTTGAATACAAGGTGCAAGGAGAACAGCAGACTAGACAAAATTTTGTCATACTTCTCTCCTATCTCTATTCATCTCTTACACCTCTTTCATATATATATTTCTCTATTTTTTCTTGAATACAAGATTCAAAGAGAACAGCAGAGCTAGACAAAACTGAAAATGAGTTGGACAGACATTAAAACCAGTATGGCCACATGGAAAACACCTGGACTTAGCAGGCCACAGAAGATATTTAGAATTTTTTTGATGCATCACTCATGTAAAAGATGAATGACTGAGCTCTTTGAAGATGGCAGTACACATTACTCCCCACTTCCCTCTTTTCCTTTCTTTTTTTCATATATTTATATATTCATGTATTTATTTTTTATTTGTCTTTCTTCTTCCTCCCTCTCTTCCTCTCTATTTTCATAACATCGAACTAAAGCTTGACCATTGTTTCATTCATTCACTATCTTTCTTTTTCTGACACTAATTCTCTCTAATAGATTTATTCCAGCAATATTTTTCATAAAGTCATTAACTTTTCTTTTGGTTATTCTGCCTTGTAACTCATTCAATCTTTCCTTGTCTCTCCTGCACCAATTAACTCTGCCTTTTTTCAAGTGATTCATTCATTAATTGAATAATTCATTACATCTTCCTCTTTCCCTCACATTTTTCCTCTTCTCCATCTGCCATTCATTTATTTATTGTTATTCTCTCTGCTTATTTTTTTCTACCTCGTAGGAACCAAAGGCACCATGTACTTGTGTCCATAGCATGTTCATCATAATTTTCTGGCTGGTGGAATGCCCTTGCACCTCTTCCTGTATTTATGTTGTAGCTTGTAAAACAAATTGCTTTTGAAAAATCTAGCATATCTCAAGAAATATTAGTGTGCTAGACATAGTAACAGTATTGACCAGCTGCATAGTTTGATGGTAGTTTGTAATAGCATAGCTTCACCCATTCCCTTGGGCAAAGACTGGCAAATGAGAGAGACAAGGTTTGTATAGTCTTTAAGTGCTTTTGTATCACTTGTGCAGAATGTCCAAGATATTTTGAAAATATGAACAAATAGTTTGAAAATGTGAAAGAAGTACAGTTAACTGAAAAAATTAAACCTTTCACATTTAACAAAGGTAGATGATGAGCACACAACTTTACAAATGAAGATATCAAGCTTAAACATTGTATTTGTTTGATCTCTGTTGCCTCAAAATTATTGTCTAATTTATTGCAAGATTCTTTAATGGCAAAGTTCTTATGGGATAACTATAATCACAAATTCCTACAGACAATGCAGAAATGCTTGCATACTAAAAAATAAAAAAGATTTATCATTTGCATTCTGCTCAAACTAAAGTTCAATCATAAACCACACAAAGGCCATGTCCTTTGATTTGAAGTAAAGCAAAAAGGAATAGACATTTAAAAAAAAATCTTCACAGTATCAATAACAAGGTCAATGAAATACAAATATCTGTGTTTATTGTATTGTGTAAAATGAGTGAGGCGAGGCTGGGGTCACCCTTTATCACAGACACAACTAATCTTCTATCCACATACCCCAGCCTACCACACTTTGTTCCATAGTAATCATAAAATAATTGATAAATGTACATTATATAATTATTCTTCATCCAATATGACAGACATTTACTAAGTGTGAAGGTATGACCAACTCTATCTAGTAATTGTGACAAGATTCCTTTGCAAGATTCCCACTTAGGGTATTAATGACATTGTTTTCTTATGTGGAACATATGGAAGAGAACCCAAAGAAATGTATTACCAAAACTCATTTTTAACCACAATACTGAAGCAAACGTGCAGGTTTTGGTTGAGTATGCAGAGGTGCCTACCTACCATATCCTCAAACTTTACATATGTACAGAGGGATATAGCCAATACCTTGTAGGGACAATTGACCTACAAAGCTATGTCCAATGATATGACAGTAAATGAATCTTGGCCAATCTATAAGGCAGGTCAACAACAATGCATTCCTATAAAGGCTTGGTTTAGTATATAGGTAAACTATGTGGGTCCTCCGTTTGGTCCACATGAGGCGGGGAGATGACTGATGAAGTTCCCTGGGTGCTGGTAACACCTCAAGCAGGTGACCAGCTACCCTGACAGTTGCTGGAGGGAGATGCTCCACTTCTGTACACTTTGTACTCGTGCTGATATGTGGGTATGAAATGCTAGCTACTATATTACAGGAACACAAAAGGTCTTATCCTCCCCAACAAGCTGCCAATAATATACATTATGTCCTTTAGCTCATTTGAAATAAAATGTTTGCAGCAATCTAAAATAACAACATACTAACTTTTGACTTGCATCAAATGGTCAGCTATACATAAAATAGAGTAAAAGAAATATAAAATATATATATATAACAACTGGTCTCGGTTTACTGAATATTTCAGCATTTACGAAACGAAGTCAGACCTTCCTTTGTCAAATCACACGTTCATAAGCATCTCCTGCAGAACGTTTGTTTTATGTAAACTGAGAACCACTGTGACCTTAGACTGTCTCTCACTGGTACATCAAGTAACAGCCATTAATGTGTTTCTTTTTCTCAGTGTTCAATGTCTCTCTGAGCACGGCTGATTTTAACTTTGTCTTTGGGTGTTTCAGCCTCACCAGTTTCCATAGCAAACATTTTCATCTTCTCCTTGAAAGAGAGTTTCTCAGGGCCAGGGGTCTTGGCTGCTGCTTGCTGCGCTTGCTTTTCTTGCAGGCGGCGCCAACGCGGATCCCTGGTGAAAATTAAAGGTTATTATTTTTAGTTATTACACTCAAAAGTATTAATTTTGCTATGCATCAAATCACTTTAAATGAAAAAAATAAAATCCTGAGCCTCTTCACATGGTATCAATAACAAATTGGTGCTTCTCAATTGGTTTAGTATATAGGTAAATGATAATATGTACAAACAAAATCCAACATTATTCTCAATTCATTAAAACTGATGCAAGAAAAAGTAATTTTTAGCCACTCTTACCTGTACACTTCCTGAGCACCAATGACACCTGGTGTTCCACCAGTGCGGTTTGGAGAGGAGTTAAGAAGAGTCTCTGCTTCATTGATAAAATTCTGTAAAAAACAAAATTTATTAAAAACTGCACAAGAAGTTACAGCAATTAAAGATAGATTCAAAATGCTGCTGTAACACCTAGAGAGCAAAGTTCTAACAGGCAGAAATGAGTGCATTTACGGAAGCAATATCTACATCTAAAAGATACTTGCCTTCTGTTTATATGATCTGATGTGCTTGAAAACAGAGAAGAGCATAATTTTACTTCAAGGTACTTTATAAAGCATACAACATAAAACCATTCATATCTAATCTACCCAAATACACAATACAGTGATAGATACTTACATCAGGATCCTGCCTTGGAGTCTTCTCCTGGTTTGCATTGTTATCATAAGTGATGTGGGTGTCCATGGTGGTTGTCTCAGAAAACTGGACACGCTTTATTGTAGTGGGAGGACCATCAGGACCCTTGTGTCGATTATTGTTTGAAGAGTGTTGTGACTGCTGCTGCATTATGCTATAAGATGACCCTCGCTCAGGAGGCACCGGACTGTGTTGAGCTCCTGGTACTAGTGTGTCCATGCCATGACTGCTGTCAGTACTCTGATTGTGTTCAGGGTAGCCACCCAGATTTCGTGAACCATTGACAGGACCATTACTATACTGGGTCTGGAATGGAGATCCAACCAGAGTGTCCAGTCTTTGAGTGGCATGATGTTGATGCTGGTAATGTGAATGCTGTTGTTGCTGTTGCTGTTGCTGCTGCTGTTGTTGCTGTTGCCGTTGTGGCTGCTCTTGTTGCAATTGGAAGCGTCTCAGTTGTTCCTCCTGCTGTCGCCTCTGGGCTTCACGCAAGAGTCGCTCTTCCACCTCACTGGCGGCTTCAAGCTCCTGCTGTTTCCGTCGGATCTCGTCCACCTTTCTTGCTCTTTCCTCATCCACAGGTCCTCCCCCATTCATGCGTGGCTCTTGGCCACTGGTGATGAGAGGTGCATTTCCTGTAAGCTTATTGTATTCCCTTGTTGCATTATTCTCTTGATTATATTTTACATCATCTTCATTTTCTCTGTGATTCTCTCGATCCTCCACGTCCTCGTCCTCATCCTCATCCTCATCATCATCATTATTCATTTCTTCTGCACGGCGCTGGAACTCCTTTTCAAGCCTCAAGGTGCGTAGTCTTTCCTCCTGTTGAGATGTACGATTTTCTATTCCCTCCAGAGAGGAGATCTGTTCATCTCGCCAGTGTCGCACAGCCTCACGGCGCCGGCGATCATTCTGGAAGGAAAAAATAATTAATAGGCAATTCAGCTACAGCATTTTTAAAATAAAGTTAGCAGACACCTCATCATGTCAAACACATGACAAGGTAAAAAAAAATACCTTCAGTTATTATTCTGAAGCCAAATGCAATACAAGATAATTCAAATATTTGTTACACTTCCATAATTAGAATGTACAGCCACTTTTTAATCAAGCTCATCCTCTCTAGAAAGTTCAGAAAAGAACTGATCAACTTACTCTTTCTTTCTCTTCCCTGTCCCATGGGCTGGTCTTGTTGAACACAGATTTGTTTCCTTGTCCAGAGTTCATGTTGTAGCCAACATTGGAGGCTGGGCGACTGGTCTGCAAGAGAGGGTGTGTGGAGGTTGGAGGGGGTGGAGGGGGAGGAGAGTCACGGTATCCATCCTCTGGTGGTGGAGGCCTGGGGGGAGCATCTGTATTGATACCCTCATACCCATACTGCCGCATGGGTTTTTCTGGAGCGTCAGGAGAGAGAGGCCCCTGAGGTACTTGTGATTTTGGCTTGGGAGCAGTTGGTGGGGGAAACTTGCCACCTGGGAAGCCTTGTGGGTGACCTGCATACTGGGGATGAGCATGCTGGGGCTGCTGCTGGAGTCCTGCCATGGTCCCTTGAGGGCTGATGGGCTGGGATGTGGCTGGGTGATAGCCTGGGTGCTGGCCTGGGAAACCCTGAGGCCCATTAAAGCCCTCTGGGGAAAAGGGAGTTCCTGGGGAGTAGGCATTTGGCACACGATGAACCTGCTGTGGGCCTGGCCGCTGTTGCTGGGATGCAGGTGGGTGACCATTGAGGCGCATACGCTCCTCTCTCCGACGCACTTCTTCTGTCATCTCCATCATCTTAGCATCAGCACGAATGTCACGCTGTGAAGCAGGTCTGGTCATTTCTGTCCTCTGTGGCACCATGTCTTCACGCTGCATGAAGGCTGAAGCAGGTCGCTCGCTACGGGGCTCATGCCGAGGGTGGTCCTGGCGCAACTGTTCAGGAGGGCCCTGGGAAGCAGGGGACCCCATGGGCAGTGGTTGGCTGGGACGAGTACGTGTCGAGCCCATGCGAGGATCCTGAGGACCCTGATGGAAGTTCACATTCTGATAGTAGCGCTCTTCCTCCACCACAAGGCTTGGGTTGCTAGGGTGCCTACCCACAAGGCCTGGATAACTTCCATCACTGAGATTTTGAGTTGACCTGCCGGGGTTGGATCAATTAGCTTACTGCAGTGCCTACAGAGTTTAGCTGTTACTTGACAAACTTTACAAATAAAATAAAAGAAAAAAAGAAAAAAAAAAAGATATTTACAATAAAAACAACTAACCTTGAGCGAATAGGTGGTTGCTGGTGCTGCTGCTGCTGGTGTTGTGGTTGTTGTTGTGGATGTTGGTGGGGATGGTGAGCAAAGTGTGGGTTCTGAGGCTGTGACAAAGAGGTGTTTGAGGAGGTGCGAGAGTATGAAGGGTTGAAGACCTCCAGTGATGCTGGTTTTCCCCCAACACTACTACCAGCTTCACCTGTGAAGAGAATTCCAATGTTCAAAAAGCAACAAAAATTTGGAGATGAAATTTCACACAGCTATATCACAATACAAACAAATTAAATCCTTGTACACAAACAATGAAAATAAATAAACTCACTATTTAATGAGGGGACAGACTTTGATGCTTGCATACGGGGAGCCTGATGGAGAAGGGGTGGTGCAGGGGGTTCCTGGTTGTGCTCACGGAGGACTTTAGATGGCAGATCACGCTCACTCAAGTGACGACCACCAGGGTAACCTTGGGGGGGAGGGAGTGGGGAAGGGAGAGTTAATCCTGACATCACTCAAGGCAAATGTTGCTCTGTTTTACATGAATCTGGTTTTATGGAGCATGAAGTCTGGTAAGTATGGCAAACCTAACACTGGCTGACATCAAAACTACATGTACCTAAACTAATCATATGCAAACAGAAAAAAAAAGAATTGGCTATCATAAAGATCTAAGATTTCAGTGTCACAGTGAACTACCATATTTTAGCCTCAAAATGCAAAACTTATCAGGATATGACCAGAACGACATAAAGCAGAGTAAATCTCTCTCAGTACACATTTTTGTATGTAAATCTATACCTATATTTGCATATCCTTATTATCTCACTTGATACAAGAGGTTGTACAAAGTGTAATGAATGAAAAAAACATATTTACAATATGAATATAAGTTTGCGACTACAATTATCCTAGTCACATCCCTAGTGCTAAAATATATTGAATTCATAAGCTACAAAAATCAATACTGAAAAGTTCACTCTACAAACAATAACATGAAGTGCTAAAAACACACAAAAATAACTGTGGTCAAAAATATTCATCAGACAAAACAAAAGTGTAAAAACAAATGAGTAAAACAAAATGGAAGAAACACACAAAATCTGGAAATAAAATGAGATTAAAAAAGAGTTAGTAAAACTGTGCTAAGGTCATGCAGATCCATGCAGGATGGAAGCCCTCTGCTCATGCTACCTCATATTTTGTCATGAGTATTTGTTTATACAAGGTGTAATCTCACATTTTGAAAAATACAAAATAATGCAGCTTACAGCTCTCCTCAAAGGTTATTATATGAAATGAGGTTTCAAGTAAAGATCTACAATAAAACTAATCCTGAATAAATGCTACTGTTTTTCATTCATTTAATGGAGTTAAAACTATAGACTTGTCACAGATATATTAATATAATAATGAACTGTTCCTTGAAACAGAGGATCATGACAATTAGAATAGTAGATATCAATGTCTGTCAAAAAAGTTAAACTGTTGCAAGACGTGATCGGTGATCGAGGCAGAGAGGGCATAGCAGGGGGGGGGGGTCATGCAGGGCCACAGAGAGAGGGTGCTTGACAGAGAGAAGCAAGAGGTTCTCACTGTGCCGCGGGGGCTCACTCAGTTACCGATGGGGGCGGCACTGGATGCTTGTTGCTGCTGCTGCCGCAGTGTATACTCCTGTGAGGGAGGGGGGGAGGAAGGGGGGGAGTGAACCAACAGGAGGGAGGGAGAAGACTGAGCAAGTGATGGAGCCAAGCTCATCTGTTGGCGCAGAGTGGGGCGCCGTCTGGACAAAGCTACCTCAGAGGAAGGGCCTACAGCAGGACGTGAAGGAAGGATGGGGTACGAAGTGCGGGCCACCAGCGGGGGCGGAATGGCAGGGCCGGCACTTGCAGCCGGGACAGGCGTCTGAGAAGAGCCATGGCGCTTCTCAGCGCCTGCACCAGCAGCATTTGTCTGAACTGACACATCGACTAGACTTCGCCACGGTTTAGCATCGTCATGCGTGTGACAGCTGAGGTCTATGCCGCTGTCGGCTGCCAAGTTGGCCGGGCCGGAGCCCCGTCGCACAGCCGAGCAGCCGGCCCCATGGCCCGCCCCACGCTGGTGCCGGCGCCACGAGGAAACCGAAGAGGAGGAGGAGGTGGAGGTGTTGCATGAGTTGGAGCTAGCCTCTGAGGGAGGAGTATAGGTGTACTTGGGTAGATTGGGGTTGCTGCGGGTGTTGTCCACCGTGCGGTGCTCGATGCCCACCTCGACCCGCTCGGAGGGAATGACTGAGATAAGGGGAGGAGGGTAGAGGGGAGGGGTGTGGGGCCCCAGGCTGGGGAGGGAGGCACGCAAGGGGGAGAGCTTGGACTGAGCATAGGCTGGCTTGTTAGTGGGGGCGGATGCCGAGTGGTTCACGTCTGTACCTTCTGGTGCCGCTGCCAGGTTGGGGCTCGACCTAGCCATCAGGGAGCTGTGGGAGGAGGTGGGAGGGAGGGGGTGGTGGCGGGGAGGCTGATTCCAGTCTACCAGCCGCTCGTTGTAGCCGCCCATGTTAGGCGCGGACTGGCTGTTAGTCATGGCGGCGGCGCGCCCGACCTCCTCCGCCCGAGACCGCATCTTCCGCTGGGAGGCTAGAAAGTTAGTAGCCGGCTTAGCGTCACAGACTCCATGGAAGGGTTAGTATCTAGTCTTCCGTTAGCAACAAAAAAGCATTACGTAAACTTCATGCTCTGTCTAATTACCAATATGAAACTGAATGCAGTAATCACCCCTGGCTAAATAACTCATCGTATCTTGATCAATCTAACTTCCACACACCTACAAGCTACAAAATACCCTATTCACCCTCAACGGGAGAGAAACATTCTTCTACTCGCATGCAAAACAACAATCGTTTTATCTTCCTTTAACCTTACTGTTCAATCATGCAATCAGTTCGCCATCGCAAACCTGAACTCAAAAGTCATTAACTAAAAATCTACAATTACGTGGCCTATCACCCCCCTCTGAAAGCACAACTTCCCGTCTTTAGAGAGACGGTGCATATTGCAGAATATGAAAGGTATTAAATTTACCATGTTACTGAACTGTGTCCCTATGGGGCGGGGACTTTTTCAAATTACCGTGAAAGAAGGCGTAAATGGCATTTATTGTAACCTGCCCATCAAATAATTTCAAATTCCAATTCATCCTTCCTCGTTAGTATAAAATAGTAAGCATTATATCGAACTTTACTTATACACTGTAATAACAATACTGAAATCTATTTTATTATTATCAGCACAAAACCCCCTCATTAGTAAATGTTTATATTAAATGTTGTTCTGCTTTTATAACCTGAACTATTCACCTAAGCATTGTGCTATTAGTATTACTTAGAACGTACTAAAATTAACAACTCATATTCTAAACCAAACGGGCAACGGGTCCCTTGAGGGCGCAGGATTTCCTTAGGAGACTTCAACCAGCCACGGCCCGGGTGACTCCCGTGCCCCTGTCCTCCTGCGCCCCCACAGGCCCCCGCCGCTCGCCCTGACCACGCGCGCGGCTCTCAGACATGCTGTCGCCGCCCCCGAACAAGCGTGAGTGGTGCAAGACCCAAGTGACTGACGTGACTCCGCCTTTAACCGACTCACCTCGGTTGACCTGCGGCGACGGCTGCGACAGGATAGTGGCCAGGCCGTGGTAGATGGCCCCTTGCCTGGCCACCTGCAGCGTCACGACGGGCCCCGTCTCCATCATGTACTCGGCCGCACGCTCCTGGCTGATGCCGATCAGGGACTTGCCGTCCACCGACAGCAGCTGGTCGCCGGCCTGCAGCCTTCCGTCCTGCAAGAAGGATTGTCATTAGGAATGCCTAAAGGAACTACAGTTGTGTTTCATTCTTATTATTTACTTATTTCGTGAAGTTGGTGGCTAATTTAGGCACGGTATTCTTATTCATCTATGTTCATTAGTTTATCATTGTTGAGTCGTTTTGCATGCAAGATGTGTTTGTTGGGGCGATGCTGTCAAGATGAGATCAGAATCCACCTTCGGGGACCCTCACAGGAACCGCTAAAGCAGCATACTCATTATGCGAAGTTCATATTGTTGCTGCCGTGAGGAACTCAATCATGGACAAAGGAACCGGTGAATGAGAAGCAAAGCACAGACAAAAATGAAACCAGACTGTCGGGTGATTTCAACGGGTATTAAGTAGCGTCGGCCAAGGCAGGGTACTTCCGCCCGTGCCCAGTCGGGCCACGCCCCATCACTCCAAGCCAGCCCTGCTTGCCGCGGCTACGAAGAGCAACGCCCCACCCCTATCCCCTCTCCCACGTCAAGGATAACGCCAGCGTCCCTCGTTAATACCACATAATAACGGGAAAGATCCGACCGCAGCCCATTACCGTCGCCGCCGCCGCGATCAAGCTCGCCGCGTCCGTGCGTCGCGTCCTCCCGCCGGCCATTCCTAAGGCTTCCCTCGGCTCCGCGAGGCTTGCGGGACTGCTCGCTGGGGCGTCCGGGTCGCCCTCCGACTCGCCGGGCGGCGTCCGTTCCGTCGTCTTTCTCATAAACTGATCGCCGACGCCCTCCTCCAAGCCCGGCGGAGGAGAGGCGCATGGCAGGACGCCGCCCCGCCTTCGCCCCCCCCCCTTCCCCCCTCCCGTTCCGAACCGAGCCATCCCGGGGAGGGGCCGCAGCTGGGGAGGCGGCCAGGGCAGGGAGGGTGGCGCCCGCATGAAACTCTCCCGCGCATGCCTGGTCAGGTCAACGTCTCCTCCTGAAGCGGTGCTGCAGCTCAGGATTCCCTCTCCGCGCCGCCTCCGTGCGCCTTCCTCACTCGCCCCAAGCGCCGCGGCCTTGTAGCGGGTGCAGGAGGGCCATGCCCTTCCTGCTCTGATACGGAAAGGAGGTTCGACTGCGTTGGAAACTGGCCACGCCGTAAACCGAGCCCGCCAGAAGGACCACCTTGGTCCTGCCGCCAAGCCCTCACGACGCCCTCCTCCTCCACCCCTATCGGGTCCGCCGCTCTCACTCCCTCTCTCATACCCCCTCACCTTCGTTCCCCGCTCATGTCACTCCTTTCCTTCCCGTTCCCTCAACCTAACATCCTCCCCTGGCCACCTCGCACGCGCAGTGGCCGTGTGCATCATGTATGCGTGGGCTGTCCATGCTTCCCCTAGAGCGCACACACACGCACGCACACGCACTTCCTGCCGCTGCCATAGGATCAGCACACGTGGAGAAAGAAACAAAGGAAACACAAACAACACACACACACACACACACACACACACACACACACACACACACACACACACACACACATATATATTACACATCTATAAGTTAGGTGAGGTGGAGAAGGCGGAGCCGCGCGCCACACCTTGGCCGTGCGAGGCGAGGAATCGCGCGCGATGAGAGAGAAGCAAGCGAAACAAGCGAAGCAACAGAAGGGGAGAATTTAAAAAAAAAGCAAGAGCAGCGAGAGCAGCGCGCCGGGAGCAGCAGGGCGGGCGAGGACAGAGCAACGTGGGCAGAAAATGCGAAGGGGGAGGGAGGCGGAAAGGAAGAAAGAGAAGGCAAAGGAAGTAAATAAGAAATGGGTGAAGTGGAGAAAGACGAGGTGTGGGGAGGAAGGCGGATGGGGAGGAAAGGAGGAGAAGGGGAAGGAGGAGGAGGCGGAGGTGGTTGGCGGGGCGCCAGGTTGGCCAGTTAGCGGGTCCTACTTCGCGTGTGTATGTTGGTCAACCGCGCCTGCTTTCTGCTGCCTCCCTTTCCCTCCGCCTCCCTCTTGCCCGCCGCCCTCTCCCTGTCCCTCGGGGCTTGGCGCTCACGTGCTTTCTTCCTCCGAGGTTCAGCTCGCCCCTCGGGGGGTGACGTCATCTCTGAGAGGAGGCGCCCGGTCCAGTGACCCAGTCTACTATCCTGTCTCCACGCCCACACCTGGGCACTGAACCCCGCGCCCACGAGAGTACTGCGCCCGGCCGCTCGCTCTCGCTCTCCCTTCTTCCCTCCCTGTTAAGCTCTCACCCCCTCCTTCGTTTTGCCTTCCTATCCCCTCCCCGTGTCCGGCCGACCGAAACCTACTCTTCCTGGAGGACAAAACAGCGCCCCCCCCCTCCCCCTCGGAAGATAGAAGCACGGACTATCCTTTCCCAAGAAAGCCTGGAGCATCCCAGTCACTGGCACACCATCCTGCAAAAGGACTACGGAATCTTGGAAAGAAAGTTAAAATGCTAAAAATGAAGGAAATGCAAGAAATCCTAGTACCTACAGCCAGCCCAGGTCCCCGAAGTCACTCATTTCGCAGCAACCCGAAAAAATCAGCCTCTTACTGGGGCCTTGCGCGCGGCCCTCGGCGAGCAGGAGCAGTCAGGAGGAATCCATCAAATCGCGTGCGAAGGGCCCTTCCTTCAAGACAAAAGCCTTTGCTCTCTTTTCAGCACACCGACGGCGACGACGACGACAGTGATAACAAAAGCTGTCTTTCGAGTAGTTATCAAACCGCAATTCTCCCATGAGAAAAACTTATGATAAAATATAATACAAACATGTTCTCACTTGGTGGGGACTGAATTCTTCCTCTACTTTACCACTTGTGCGTCACCTTTTCTTGTTTGTGCGATGGTCATCCGTAAAGAAAATTAAAGTAAATAAGTCAACTCAGTTATGACTATAAAATACAACCGACTGCTTTGCACGATGCCTCCCAATATCCTGCAAATGCTCCCAATCTAATTTGCACCGAGTGATATGTTCAAAGTCGTGCTGGATCGGACTCCTCTTTGGCATCAAAGAATACGGTCGCCAAGTGCAGGTCAAGGTCGCTTTGCAATGCAATCCACCCATCCTTTGATGAGCGACGACCCATCTGCTCCTTCCTGCCACCACAAACGTTGCCAAACACTCACCTGGTCGGCAGCTCCGCCCGGCACCACGCTCTTGATGTAGATCCCGAGCTTGTCCTGGTTCACGCCCTGGGGGAGAGAGGGGGGGGGTTAGAATCATGGGCTTTGAGAAGAGGAGCACCGATTAGACTGCTGAATGACGATTAGGTACTGAATAATCTGAAATAATTACTTATATATAAAGTCAATATTCATAAAAAAGCAACATAAATTACAACTTTCTCAAATACACGAAGATTTGGACGAAAAGTTTAATATTTTTCCAAATGCTACAACGATGACCGACATCCATCTCTTGAACAAATGTCAAAAAAAGAAAAAAAAAACGGGCGGCCATCACAAAGCCCAAACAAGATCCCACCTTTTCACACTCGTTTCCTTCATTAAAACGGAAATAGTCAAACGACGGATCGAAACACAAAATAGAACTCCTATCTCTAAAGCGGAAATCAAGGCAAACGCTAGCAGAGGAGGAGGAGGAGGAGGAGGAGGAAGGAAGGAAGAAGAAAAGAAGAAGAGAGAAGAAGAAGAAGAAGAAGAAGAAGAAGAAGAAGAAGGAAGAAGAAGAAGAGAAGAAAGAAGAAGAGAAGAGAAGAAGAGAAGAAGAAGAAGAAGAAGAAGAAGAAGAAGAAGAAGAAGAAGAAGAAGAAGAGAGAGGAGGAGGAGGAGAAGGAGGAGGAGAAGGAGGAGAGAGAAGGAGGAGAGGAGGAGGAGGAGGAGGAGGAGGAGGAGAGGAGGAGGAGAAGGAGGAGGAGAGGAGAAGAAGGAGAAGGAGAAGGAGAAGGAGAGAAAGGAGAGGAGAAGAAGAAGGAGAGAAGAAGAAAGGAGGAGAAGAAGAAGAAGAAGAAAAAGACGACGACGACGACGACCAGCAGCAGCAGCGATGACCGGGCATGAGACTTGAGGGCATGAGGAGAGAGGAGGGGGCGAGGGGGGGGATCCTGCCCCAGCGTGATGCCCAAGGAATCTGCCCCCCCATCTCCCCGCCCAACATGACGCCGCCGCCACCACACCCCCAACCAGATACAAACTGGGGGGAAAAATTACGCTTATTTTTTATTTACTTTTTTAAGACTCGCGAGAAAACCGGTCTCTGCTGCTACGAGAGCTTAGCCCTTCCCTCGCCGGCGCTGCGCAGTCCCCGATTTCACTTTTATTTTATTAATTATCTTGTTAAAAATACCGCATCTTAGAATATAATCATGAAACACACACGCAAGGTTTCCGGCGGAGAGCAGGTGAGAAGAACGCGAAAAAGAGAAATGAGTGATAAACAAAAGCCCTCGGGAGGCAAGAGAAATGCCAAAGCCAAATCCCGACGTATCATGGCCGAGGGAGCGCCGGCCTGGTGTGGGTATCGCCCGGGTATTCTCCGAGACCACAAGGGGGTATAATTACCTCCTTTGCGGCCAGGTCAGCGCAGGGAAGGACCGGGCGAGGGGACAGCCGAGAAATCAGGTCAACCTAGGTCCCTGTGAGCAGTGACCGAGACCTTCCTTCTCGAGCAAAAGCAGCTTAGTTTTCTTCGTGTCTCTTTCTTCCCTTACTCCCTCCTCTCTCCTTCCTAGATTACACTTCCTTTCTCTTCCTCGCTTTCTCCTTATTCCCTATCCCTTCCATCGGCCAGGTGACCTTGCCAAGGTCACGTGATCCCACCAAAACAGGTGAGGTCACCCGGCGTCCCACAGGATATCCTTATCGCTCCGCGTGTGTCCTGCGGACCTCGAAAGGAATCCCTGAATAAGCTCCCTTGCTGCCAGGCCAGCACCATTTATCATGACCTCAACATGGGGTCTTTGACCTGTGTGCGTATGCATTGGCGTGTACGTATGCCTGTGACTGCCTGCTCGGGCGTGTGGCTCCACTGCAGATCTGTTGCGATATAACTGGAAATAGGGGAGAGCGAGACCAGGAGTAAAGAGACGGAGATAAACGGAGGCGGCAGAGGACTGAGCAATAATGGAGGGGGAGGGAGAAGACAGAGAGACGAGGGGACCTAGAGAGAGGAAAGGAGAAAAGAGAAATAAGAGAAGATAGAGAGAAAGAGAGGAGAGGGTGGGTGTAGACGTCAGTAACCCAGCGTGACCTTCGACCTTTGACGGCACTCTCGCCCTCGTGCTGACCCTCCGCCACGTGCGCCTTGGAGGGACGAGAGGGAGCAACACCTTCCCTTAACGGGGAACTGGACAGAAGAATGAAGAGATGGAGGAATAGTTATGTGGGAGGGGGAGTGCGTATTGGGAGGAGGGGGAGAGGGAGAAAGGGGGAGGAGGAGGAAGAGGGAGAGGGAGGGAGACAGAGAGAGAGAGAGAGACAAAGGTGGAGAGAGAGGGAGGGAGGGGGGAGGGAGGGAGGGGGGAGAGGAAGGGAGGAGGAGGAGAAGAGGAGGAGGAGGAGGGGGGGGAGGGAGGAGGGAAGGGAGAGGAGGGAGGGGAGGGAGGGAGAGAGATAGAGAGAGAGAGGGAGAGGAGAGATAGATAGATAGAGAGGGAGAGAGAGAGAGGAGAGGAACGAGAAGAAGAGAGAGAGAGAGAGAGAGAGAGAGATGAGAGAGATGAGAAGAGATAGAAGGGAAGAAAAAAAAGTGAGATGGAGCGAAAGTTGAGAATTCGTGTTCGCGGCCGGGTAGGGTCAGGGCACAAGCGGGGCACGGTGACCTTTTACCCTGGCAGTGAACTTGGATAGCGAGCGCCATGCCTGCCGCCGGCCGCCCGCCCGCCCCACGCCCACGCACTCTCGAATGCTTTCTCCGAATGCCATCTCTCTCTCTCTCTCTCTCTCTCCCTCCGCTCCCCTTTCTCCTCTCCTTTTTCCCTTCCTTCCCGATTCGCTTTACGCCCATTTCTGTTCTTTTCCACTTTCATCACTTCCCGTTTTCCCATGCCCGTTTCCCTTACTCAAACTTTCTCGCCTTCTTCCATTTGTTCGCTTTTTCTTACTCTTCTCATCTCTCCTTTTCATGTCCCTCTCTCATCCCGCCCTCCCCGCCCCACCCCTGCCCCCCCCTCCACCCGCGCGAGGCTCCTCCTGCAGAGCAGTGTGGTCATGTGTCCCGGGATCTGGCCGCGTCGCCCGCTCGAGCCGAGGACCCGAACTCGTACACGTGGGGGATTTGTACGAACGAGTGGATGCGAGTATGAATGAGTCTTGTGGTGAATGTGAATGTTGAGAGAGAGAGAGTGAAGAGGAGAGAGGAGAGGGTTAAGAGATGAGTTAGCGATGAGAGATATAGGAGAGAGAGAGAGAGGAGAGAGAGAGAGAGAGAGAGAGAGAAGAGATGAGGAGAAGAGAGAGAGAGAGAGGAGAGACGAGAGAGAGAAGAGAGAGAGTTGAGAGAGTGAAAGTGAGTGAGTGAGTGAGTGAGTGGTGTGAGTGAGTGAAGTGAGTGAGTGGAGTGAGTGGTGCGTGCGTGTCGTGGTTGTGCGTGTGCGTGTGCGTGTGTTACTTTCTGTTCCATCTCCTCTCTCCCCTCGAGCTCCCCGCTTCCTCGGCAGGGCGAAGGCCAGGGCTCGAGCCGCCTGGCATGTCCGTAGGCCTCACGGGAGCTCGCCTGGGTCTAGTTCGAGTGCGTCAAGCGGGAGGGCGTCTTCGAGACCCTAACGAGAGGCTGGCTGGCTAAGGAGGAAAGGAGGGAGGCAGAGAAAGTGGGAGGGAGGGAGGAAAGTAGGAAGAGGAGGGAGGGAGGATGACAGGGAATGGGAGAGGGCGTGAGGGAGGTCCCGCGATCCCTCGCACGGAGCGGCGGCGAATCGCCTTCGGCAGCAGACCTTTTCATCAGGAACATCGTCTCCGTCACAGGCAGGTCACGACGCGCTACCAGGCTCAGCAAGGAAGGGCATGTGCGGGGTGGGGGGTGGGGGGGCTGGGCTGGGCGTGCGTGAGGCGTGATATACCCACGATAACCCTCCGGAAGAGTGGAAGTGAGTGGCCGAATCGCAGACTCTGGGCCAGGGACCTCGACGCTGCCATGCCCGCCCTCGCTCCCTCGCTCCCTCTCTCAGCCTCGCCAGCCATCGCGCGGGCCGATGCGGGGATCGAACGGTGGGGATTCATGTCGATTCCGGACCGTTCGGCGAAGGGCGGGGAGCGGCCTGTTGGCTCATAGCCACGCGGGGTTCTAAGGCTTCCGCCAGCCATAGTGGGGCGGATGCTCACTTGTACAGCGGTCGGAGGAGAATGAGAGCCGTGAGCGAATGTCGGTGTGGTTGTGTGTGTGTGTGTGTGTGTGTGAGAGAGGGGGGGGTAGGGGTAGGTGATAAATATAAGGGGATATGGGGGTAGGGGGGGTGGACAATATAAGGGGATAATGGGGGTAGGGGGTAGGTGACAATATAAGGGGATAAACTGACGGTGAATTGCAAGGACGAGGTCAGGCGGACAGCGCATCACAACGCAACAATGCCGGCGCAATTCCGGGAAGATTCTCAGCACATTGCGCATCCTGGAGCAGAAGACAGACGCAGTAACACAAACGCACACGCCACGCCGCGCTGACACACATGGTGGAGTAGACTCGGGGCGGGACAGCTGGAAAAAAGCTCAAGGAGGATGCATTTGTACGGAGAAAGAGGAGAGAGGCCAGGGAGGTGGTGGAAAGGGAGGAAGAGAAAGGAGGATGAGGAAGAAAAGTAGCATCATAATGGAGTAAACAGAGGAGGAGGCCTAATGATGAAAGCGAGGAGGAGATAAGGGAAGAGGATGATTATCCAATGAGCCAGAAGAGGAATGCAAGGTCGGCGAGAGGAACGAGTGAAGGGGTGGGGGTGGGGGGGGGGGAAAAGAGTAGGACTATTGTACAACGCAGGGTGGGGTATCATGACGTCACATCCGGCGCGTGATCAGGGGGGCGTAACGCAACAAAGGAGTGATCCCGGTGCTGTACTAGACACCTTCTCCTTCACGCCCGCACGCCCTCGCCGGAGGCACTCAGGCGACGCACAAGTCATCACGCGCACCACTATGTAAACTCGCGAGGAATGACAGTTCAAAAAAGGGATGGTCTATTTAATGAATACTGAACAATGCCAATAAATCGCACAAGAACTCTATTAGAAATCACAACTCAAAAC